AGCGACTCGACCTAATCCAATGATGGGCAATCTACCACCATCACGCGTCAGTTCTCCGCGAGCTTTTCAAAATGTTGGGATGGACTATGGAGGTCCATATTTAATAAAGGAAAGGCGTCTTCGCAATACCAAAACCATAAAGGTCTACATCGCACTATTTATATGTATGACGGTAAAGGCGGTACATATTGAAATTGTTTCTGACTTGACTACTGAAGCCTTCCTTGCAGCTCTCGACCGCTTTGTGGCACGTCGCGGAATCCCTTTAGACTTATATAGCGATTGTGGCAGCAATTACATTGGGGTAGCCAAACAGTTGAAGTTACTTCTGAATGATGTCAGTATACAAAATGCCATGGTCACCCGAGTTCCGTGCAATTGGCATTTTAATCCCCCCGCCGCTCCTCATATGGGTGGGCTTTGGGAAGCCTCAATTAAAAGTATTAAGTTTCATCTAACACGTGTATTTGGAATGCAAATATTAACATATGAAGAATTAGAAACGTTGGTAATCCGTGTCGAAGGGATTCTTAATTCGCATCCACTCACTTCGGCCTCATCAGATCCTCACGATCTATTAGCATTGACACCAGGTCATTTTTTAATTGGCCAACCTATATTAGCGTTGCCTCAAACTGATGTTACCCATATACCTGTGAACTGATTAATACGCTGGCAGTTAATTCAGCAGATGCATCAATCATTATGGAAGCGATGGACGCGAGAATATGTAACAACACTCCAAAGACGATTTAGAAAGAAGATTTAGTCATCGTCGAAGCCTCCAATCGTCCACCGATTGACTGGTACATGGGAAGAATCTTACATATACCCCCCTGTACTGACAGAATAGTACGGGTAATGAAAGTAAAAACTCAAGACGGTTTATATAAGCGTCCAGTCGTTAAATTAGTCAAGCTGCCAGTAGATGAATGATCACTGTTAAAACTAATTTCTTATTTTAATCCTTGATTCCTCATAATAATGTTTATTTTCATACAGTCCATTAAATTTAAAGGTACACCTCATAAAAAAAAAAAACTAATGTTATGTTTTTTATTTTATTTAATCATTTTTTTGTTATTATTTTTACTTACTCATAATTTTAACATGTATTCTTACGATTTTATTTATTATTATTATTATTTTTTTTTTTTTTATGTATTATGAATTGTTCTGATTCTTAATTTTGTTTCTATTTATTTTTTATATGTTTTATGTTGTCTAAACACCATCAAAGATTTTAAAAGTTGTATAACTTTCAACTCGGGAGGAAATGTTGGGTAGTGTGTGGCACGCGTGTATGACCAGTTTGAACGTGTTCATGCTTCGTCCCGTCGTTGTTACTTCCTCAGCGAGCGACACGGCCTTTTTTGTACGTAAACAGTACACTCGTCTCGCACTTCTAGTAATCGGCAGCCGTACAATTAGTAATTGCTCGCCTTGTAGTCTTTACTGATTTTGTTCAGTATTAGTTTCCAGTCAATAACTTTGCCACAGTCTCAATTTTTCTCAAGCCGACATCAGATAAGTCATTAATTTTTATTATTTTGTAATTGTATCGTATCATAAGATTAATATTGTTTTAGTATGTAAGTTATCCCTCCTTTCCCTTTACTTTTTAAGAATTTCATTTGCAAAACAGTAAATATATTTCTTATTTTATATATATATATATACATAAGCAGGTGTACCTATTTTCTTACCCCCTCTTATTTTTCTTTATTTATCATTTTGTTTGCATCAAAATAAACAACGCTACCACACAGTAACAGGCCATTCCCCTTTAATATTAAGTGGCTGCTTGTTACAGTACATACACTTTATTATAAGTATTAAATTTTAATTTTAACTAGAGTAATAATCAATGACATAAAGAAATTATTATTGTGCTATACTACTGTATTACCTACTATACGTTTACTACGTTTGTCTAGATGATGTAATAGAAGAAAATGATTTAGTAGAAATTAAATGCGTATTCTTCTCGTGACTCGGGTAGTGTTGTAGTAACAGTAGGAAATAAATTAGTAAGTATCAAATTAACTAAGTAATATTTATTTTCAAAAACTATATAAATTTAATTTTCAGTTACAATATTGCAAGATTGAAAATTCTAAATTAGCTTGTAAGCTAAACTCATATAAGATAGCCAAACTTTAGAAGAACCCCGAAGAGAATACACCACGGGCGAGGCACGCCAAAGGTAAAATCTGAGCACAATGGATTTTGTACCTTATCCTAAGGGGAAAAGAATATAAATAAAAGGNAAAAACGTTTATTAATCTGTGTTTTAATATTAATGTAGACGAAATTGATTTTAATACAAAATGACATTTTTTACTTTATGTCATGGTAAAAACGCTAATTTTGACATTGCTGTCTCAGTCACGTATTGTTTATTATCAATTATGATTATCAATAGATATATTTTCTGTATTGTCAGTTAGTGTATTTATATACTCATAACAATGTGTCTTACTACAATTGATAATAACAACGCTGTGTACCTGCTAATATCGATGTCATAAAAATCCAATTAGCTACCTGTATTTACAATCCCATGTGTATTATACATGTATATTAACTCAACATTTCGAAACTTTAAATGTTTATATCTAATAAGTTAATAAAGTTATATTAAAAATTCAAATGCCATTTACTATTAAATTAAAAACTCAAACATTTTATTAAATTAAAAATATGTGTTACCATTTAAAAAAACAAAGTT